CATGTAGCTACAATTCCCCTTTCATTCTTTTTATTCAACACAAATAAATACACCATTCTCAATTAACATTATTAACAAAATCCTCTCAATAATTAATTTAAATATAATATATAATACATATATACTTAATTATCTTTAAATCATATATGATTGACAATTAATCATTTTTAATGTTTGATCTCAATTCTCTTCCTGTGCGGTAGAAAACAAATGTTGAGCTTTTATTTATTTTTCAAAAAAGTTAGCTATTTGATACATCGATAATGCATTTATATGTTTAACATTAGTAAAACAAATGTTGTAATCTCATTGAAAATAAAGTTATTTTTTATTTTAAGAAAATTATTTATCGAGATTATATTACTTAAGACGTGTGAATATATTCAAATTATCATATTAAATATAAACACTAATACCAATCCCAACAATCATTTCCCCGACGTCTCAAAGTTAATATAAATTGAACGAGGCAAAAGATACTTAATTTGCCCACTGCCATGTACTTTACTTGGTTAATTTACAAATGATGATTGGTTTAACAATCATTTAAGAATAATAAAGAGAAAACATACTTAGCAAACTAATGAAACATAATCGTGCCAAAAAATCAACAGCACCATGAATCTGAACTTCAAATTTTCTCTCCACGCTTAATTATTTTTTTTACTAATTAATTATTTTTCATGCAACTGAGAACTTAATAAATTATTCTTTCCTCATTAAGGGATGTTTGGATCAAGGAATGTGAGATTCTCATGGGAATAGAATCCACATTCCCATGTTTGGTTGGCCGGGAATCTCATTCCCGGTAATATTTTATTACCAATAGTAGATTTTTTTAGGTATATTACCGGGAATGTCATTACCTCCATTTCCTTAGGTATTGTTGGATTACCGGTGTTTTAGACTAAAATGCCCTTATTTTTTTTTCAAAAATATCATTCTTCTGTCATTGAATAATAAAAATTATACGAAGGTTAAAATACAAATTTATCCTTAAAATATTTTAGATTTACAAAAAAAAATTATAATTAAAATTTTATATGAAGTTCAGGGGTTAAAATAAAATTTTACCCTTTCATTAAACCTTTTTATATTTTCAATTTTGTAAAAAATATATATATAAATTTTATGAATTTAATTTTTTTAAAATATATATATAAATATTTTCCAACTTGTTAAAAAAATAAAATATGGTCAAATATACATTCTAATAATATTTTATTCCTTTAACCAAACACGGTAATATTACATTCTTGCTAAACCAACCAAACACAAAATATAACAATCTTAGTAATCCTATTCCCTGATAATATTACATTCCGTGAACCAAACGCACACTAAAATGATCGAAAGTGATGTCTAAACTCTCTTGGGTTAGCTAAATTAACCTAAATGTGGAAGTTGGCATTAAATTTATATCTAAAAATGAAGTTGTAAATAAAAAGCTGCAGGATTTGCACTTACTTTGCTTGTTTAAGATCCTCAGTCACTTTCCTTTTGACCAATTATTCTTTATAATATTTATATACATTGGCCTTGTTCTTCCAGCACCAAGCTCTTAATTACTGTCTCCCTTCTTTAAACAAGAGAGAGAGAGAATTGTATAGGAAGATTAGAAACTGGGTGTGCAGCTGCAATGGAGTGCTTTTGATCTACTTACTGACACAAAGTTTCCAGCTTGCTGTTTCTACAACATTGCCTATTCGTAACTCACAAGCAAAAACCAAATAATCACTCACACCCCAAAACCAAACCAAAGATTCGTGTTCTTTTCGCAAAGGCCAAGCTAAACCAAACCTCATATATTAACCCTAGTTTCTCAGACAGCCTCCTCATCTGTCTGATCGGTACTCCAGTAGAGCTGAAGAAAATATACATCGTGATGGAGATTACAGGTCAGTTTGGGTTGATCTGGGAGCAAACGAGGGCGCCATTGATGGTTCCAGTGTTGAAAGTCATGGTGGTTGTGTGTTTGGCAATGTCTTTAATGCTTTTTATTGAAAGGGTTTATATGGGAATTGTGATAGCTTTTGTCAAGTTGCTTTGGAGAAAGCCTGAGAAAATGTATAAATGGGAGCCGATGAAGGACGATGTTGAGCTTGGCAATTCGGGTTATCCCATGGTTTTAGTTCAAATCCCAATGTATAATGAAAAAGAGGTCCGTTATCCGTTTATAATATACTTTGCTTGATTTATATATATATATATGTATGCATGTATGTATTGAAATTTGCTTATGTTTAGTGTTATGTTGGATATATAGGTGTATCAGTTGTCGATCGGAGCTGCATGTGGGCTTTCATGGCCCGCTGATCGGATCATAATTCAAGTGCTTGATGATTCAACTGATCCTGCCATTAAGGTGATCTCATTAAACCATCTAATGGTGTACTTTTTACGTAGATTTTTGAGTTGCAGTGGTGAATATATTCTAATGTATCGTGTTGCAGGCTCTGGTGCAACTCGAATGCCAAAGATGGGCGAGCAAAGGCGTGAATGTAAAGTATGAGATAAGGGACAACAGGAATGGATACAAAGCAGGTGCTCTAAAAGAAGGGATGAAACATAACTATGTTAAACAATGTGATTACGTGGCCATTTTCGATGCCGATTTCCAGCCCGAGCCAGACTTCCTAAACCGATCCATCCCATTTCTGGTTAACAACCCTGACCTTGGGCTAGTTCAAGCTCGTTGGAAATTCGGTAACCTTCACTAAAACCTCCCTCTGGTTAAGTGGTTATGCTTCTTTTGATCTAGTCATGGCTTGAAGCATATTTGTGTGTGTGTGTTGCAGTGAACTCGGATGAATGCCTAATGACAAGGATGCAAGAGATGTCATTGGATTACCATTTCATAGTGGAGCAAGAAGTGGGATCTTCCACCTATGCTTTCTTTGGTTTCAATGGTAATCCCGCAACTTTCACATGAACCTCATACGGCATCTATAGACACCTTTTATGTCCTGTAATAAATATCATACGGTTTATACGGTGGTAGGGACAGCTGGTGTGTGGAGAATTTCAGCAATCAATGAAGCTGGAGGATGGAAAGACAGAACAACAGTTGAAGACATGGATTTGGCTGTCCGAGCTAGTCTCAAAGGCTGGAAATTCGTTTATGTCGGCGACCTCAAGGTGAAAAATGAATTGCCGAGTACTTTCAAAGCCTACCGATTTCAACAGCACAGATGGTCATGTGGCCCTGCAAACCTCTTCAAGAAAATGGTAACAGAGATCATGAGAAATAAGGTATATATGTACATAAAAATCTTGTACATGGCAACATAATATGTACATATTACTGAATGGAATGGTGCATATCATTGCAGAGAGTTTCACTGTGGAAGAAGCTATATGTGATCTACAGTTTCTTCTTTGTCCGAAAGATAGTGGCACACATGGTGACATTTGTGTTCTACTGCGTTGTCTTGCCGGCAACTGTGTTTGTTCCGGAAGTCGAAGTTCCGAAGTGGGGCGCTGTCTATATTCCTTCCATTATCACTCTTCTCAATGCCGTGGGAACTCCAAGATCATTGCATCTAGTATTATTCTGGATTCTGTTCGAGAATGTGATGTCATTACATAGGACAAAGGCAACATTCATCGGTCTGCTGGAGGCTGGAAGAGTGAATGAATGGGTTGTTACTGAGAAATTGGGAGACGCCCTCAAGCCAAAATCAGACGGCAAGGCTCCGAGGAAGGCTCGTATTCGTATCGGAGACAGGTAATGGTTCAGACTTTTGGTTTTTGTTCAAGTGTGGGTGCGAGTGATTAATATGTGGCTGGATATGAATGAACAGAGTCCATTTACTGGAGCTTGGAGTTGGGGCGTACCTATTCTTGTGTGGGTGCTATGATTTGGCCTTGGGGAAGAATGGGTACTTCATATTCCTGTTCCTGCAATCCATTGCTTTCTTTGTGGCAGCTGCTGGTTATGTTGGATCCATTGTCCCTACTTAATGATTTCACCACATCTCCCAACTCTCTGATTCTCCAAATATATGATACTCTTTGAGTTTCTTTTATTGTTTAAAATTGTTAGAATATTACAGAGGGTGCCCATTCTTTGTTTACAAGCCTAGCTAAGTGGTTTCCAACAATAAACTTGAATTGTATTATGTTTCGTACATGTACAACTTACATGTTCAACACAAATTAAAGAAATTACTTAATAATATTGTTAAATGTTTATTTTCTTGGATATATATATTTGATGAGTTCAACAAAAATAGAGACGGCATTTTTTTTCATGCATCTAATGATTGAATTAATAATTTAAAATTAAACAAATAAAGAAATTTACTTTATTATATATAGTATAAAAAATAATATAAAATCTTCAAAATCCAAAGATAAAAGTCCAAAATCAACCGGCCGTTTTAAAGGGGTTTAGCGTCAAAGTAATCAACAAGTGTCCCTACACGGTTAGCACCTCTACCTTCCGAGCTTGCACTTTCCTACACGGTATAATGATATTTTAAAATATATATATTTTAGTTTTATTCTTTTTATCTTTTAAATTTTATTGAATAATTAATAAAAATAACATATTTATAAATTAAATTATTTTATGTATTTTTCATTGATAATATTAACTATATTATTTTTGTAAAATTAAAATGTATAAAAATTATAAATACTAAAAATAAAAAATATTAGAAAGTAGAAAAATTGAAACAATAAAAGAAATTGAGACCAGCTGAACAGGTTCCGAGATTTTCTTCTATTAATTTAGTTTAATAAGAAAATTTAAAAAATGAAATTTTAAAGACATAATTTTTTCTCGAAAATTTGAAAGAAAAAAATATCGTTAGGCCAAAAACAAAATAACAAGAGTTGACTTGGAAGCTTGAGTCGTGGTCTCCTCTGTGGCACTGCCCCAACATTAAAAAAAAAGGCGACCATTCAAGCAAATAGAAGGAAAAATCTAAGGAACCCGACCTACAATATTAAAAAAATTAATATTTTCAGTCTATTTCAATTGTTTTTAATTTTAAATTGTCGCGGAACTTCTCCAAGTAGATCCATTGCTCAGATAACGCAAAAATGGTGATCATTCTCTTTCACTTCTTCTTGATATCCAGTGTTGCAGCAGTTGGTCTTGATTCAGCCTCACCATATACACATGGTTGTCAACCAACGAGCTGCAAGCGCGGCGGTCCCTCCGTCCGTTTCCCCTTCCGATTGAAAGGCCGGCAACCTGACGGCTGTGGCTATTCCGGGTTCAATCTGACGTGCAACAACGACAACCACACGGTGCTGGAGCTTCCCCAATCGGTGAAGTTGTTGGTGAGGCACATAGATTACAAGAATCAAAGGATTCAAGTGTATGCCGAAGACGGTTGCGTTCAGAATCAGCTTCAAAATCTCACGTTATCTTCGTCTTCTTTCAATCTCAGCTCCGACAACGATTATTACCTAACACCGCGAAACAGTACCTTGTTCCAATGCCCGGATGGAGGCCAATCCGACGTTGGCGATTATAATATCATCCGTTGCTTAAGTACTAAGCCTGGGTTCTACGTGAAGTACACATATTCCGATTCAAGCACCGATTTATTACACTGCCGGAGGACTATAGATCTGAGAGAAATTCCGACAGGGTTGTTAAGGGACAGGAGTAACAAATTTTACTTCAATTGGAGTCGACCGGAGTGCGGTTACTGCGAATCACGCCGCCTAGGTTGTCGACGAAATGACACCAACGCCTGGGGCTTTGAATGTTTTGACATCCCCATCAAACATATGGGTAACCCAATTTTCATTCTTCCTATAATTTACCTTACCGTTAAATTTGAATCAGTGGTACTTGCTTCATACTTATCATTTTGGAGAGAAAAGTATTCCCCCAATACATGCTTTTATTGACTTTTGACTCTTTTTTTCCGATTAAAGCTTTCGGGGAACTAAATTTTAAAAGATATCTTAATAAAATATTATCTTTAAAATCAACGAGTCTAAAATATAATCGATTAATATAATAATATTAAAAAAAATTTAATCGGTTGTAATAGGAAAAATTTACCAAATGGCTAACTCTTCATAGTAAATTGAGTAACATTTAGGTTGAAACCGAAAATATTAAGTTCTACATAACAATTTATGTAAATTACATAATTACTTTGGTTGCTAATTTTAATCATAAACATAGTGTGCTGATAAAGTTCTAAATGCCATGTACAGGTCTAAAAGTGAAGCTGATGATTTCAGGTACATTTAGTTTTCCATGTAATGAGAAAATTAATGAAATATGGATGAAACATTAATTCTAATTTCTTACAAGGATGGATCCCTGTTACTTCATTGCAGGTTTAACAATAGGTGGTTGTTTTCTTGTATCGAGTCTTGCCGGATTACTTTGGATGTATCATCTACGTAAAAAAGAGAAGGATGCTCAACGTAAAATCGAACAGTTTTTAGAAGACTACAAGGCTCTTAAACCCTCAAGGTATTCATATGCTGATATCAAGAGGATCACGTTCCAATTCAAGGAAAAACTGGGCCAAGGTGGTTACGGAACTGTGTTCAAAGGAACACTATCCAATGATGTTTCCGTTGCCGTCAAGGTTCTCAACAATTTCAAAGGGAACGGCGAAGAGTTCATCAACGAAGTCGGTTCGATGGGTCGAATCCACCATGTCAACGTGACTCGTCTCGTCGGCTTCTGTGCCGACGGATATAACCGAGCCCTCGTGTACGAGTACTTACCGAACGAGTCACTAGAGAAGTTCATATTCGAAGACAATGGCGAGAATCGTTCGTTCAGCTGGGAAAAGACATACGAGATTGCTTTAGGTATCGCCAAAGGCATCGAGTATTTACACCAAGGTTGTGAGCAAAGAATCCTCCATTTCGACATCAAACCTCACAACATCTTGCTGGATGAGAACTTCAACCCGAAAATCTCCGATTTCGGGTTGGCCAAGCTGTGTTCAAAAGAGCAGAGTGCCGTTTCGATGACAGCGGCAAGAGGAACCATGGGGTACATTGCTCCTGAAGTACTGTCAAGGAACTTCGGGAACGTCTCGTACAAGTCGGATGTTTATAGCTTCGGGATGCTGCTGCTGGAGATGGTGGGAGGACGGAAGAACATCGACGTGAAAGTGGAGAACGTAAGCCAAGTTTACTTCCCGGAATGGGTTTACAATCGGTTAGACAAAGGTGAAGAGTTGGGAATAAGAACAGAGGATGAAGAAAATGACAAGATAGCGAAGAAGCTTACGATTGTGGGACTATGGTGCATCCAATGGTATCCAGTGGATCGTCCTTCCATGAAATCAGTGGTTCAAATGATAGAGGGCGAGGCTGAGATTCTCACAGTTCCACCAAATCCTTTTGCCTCCAAAGATGAAATGAAGCCTAAAATGCCCATTAACAGAGACCTACCCACCATTTCTGAATAAAAAAAAATAACTAACCCTTCTTTTCATATGTAATGGGATAAGGGGGAGATATGATAGTAGGCTGGCCCCAACACCAGATTGAGAGCAGCTTCCGTGAAGACCTCCGAATTATAAAATATCCTCCATGAGACTCGATCCATCCACCACAAGGTTAAGAGCCTTGTGCTCTACCAACTGAGCTGGACAGACATTTTTGAATAACATTATACTAATATGTATTCATGTAATTCCAAGGATGAATATATTCCTTGTAAAACCCAGTTGTATAATGACTGATGGCAAATTATACAGTAAGGATTAAGAAAGTAAATACTTATTGATAAAAGGTTGCAAATAAATTATACCCACTTTAAATTGTATTTGATAAAATATTTGTATATTTTTAAATTTAATTTAATGTTTTTACTGTTGTAGTTATACATATATAATCATTGAAATAAGTTTATATATTTAACTATATTTAAATAATACATATTAATGTTTTATAGTATATGGAATTTGAAAAAATTTATGTATTTATATTTCATATCATTTTCTCCATGTCATATGATGGTTTTACCATGCATATTTACTCACCAATATCTACATAAGACGCCAAAAATCCTTAAGCTAGTTGCTTTATTACCCTCGTAATATAATTGAGCAACTCATTATTACGCATATAATATGGCAACTCATTACCATGCAAATTTTGCCTCAGTATTATGCATGTCCAGACACATTCAAGACCGCAAACTTCTCATGCTTTTCTAGACTCAACGAACACGGATGTCGTCCTCGCTGGCACAGTGAAACACCCCGAGGATGCATCGTACGATGACTTCTTAACTGTTTCATCACTTGACTTCACCTGTCACGGTTCATACAAAAAGCAGGTTGAAATTTACCAAGCAGAAATATAATGTAGAAGCATTCAGTACATAGCAATTTGAGTACCTGTATGGGATGAAGTTGAAGAGTCCTTCCTTGCAGTGTAGGGCTACTAAATGATGCCTCCGTTGGACATGCATTGAAGACCACAACAATGTACGAAAAGCTGTAAAGAGGAAAGAATTTTGAAACTATGATAGATAATATCATTGGTATTATAATTATATGTTTTGTATAGACACAATTGATACGCACATGGGATCTAATTGGGAGAGCCCTGGGACACCTTCGTTACCATCTTCAATGCTAATCACAATGATGCCAGGGACCCATGATGGACCAGTGTTGTGGAACCGTACACGTTCCTGGAAACATAAGCCATGTCATTTCAATAGGATGTAGATAACGATATGTTTCTTCTGTGTAACTTTCTCACAAATGTGCATCTCTTTATCAATGCCATGAAAATCGAAAACGACAAGGATCCCATGCACAAGTTCAGTTTGTTTATCAACAAAGATGCAGGTAACTTAGTTTTGACATAAAACTCTGAGTTTTTTTTTTTTTTTTTGCACAGTTAACAACGAAATAGAATTTGTTGATTCAGTTCTACAAAAATGTCATAGAATCTCAAACTCAGTTTTCTACAAGGCAAGTTTGTAAATGGCTTTACTCACCTGGATAGCATTTTCTGTTCTTAGACGGAAAAGAGGCGAAGAATACCGAATACGTAAGACATTTGTAAAGTTCTCTACAGCTTCAAGAATGTGGCTCCTTTGAGGCTTGAAGGATGGATTTGCCAGTCTTGGCTGTATTCTGGAACAATAAAATCAAAAATCAAAAGTAGAATAATTGTGCATTTACTAGCTATATAGAGATTTTAGCATAAAAAATGACCCCTAAAAGCAAAAAGTAAAAATAAGATGATGCTTACAGTGGCCAGCTATGTTCATTTTTCTCTTTTGGAGGAAGTCCAACTCCCCAGTTGTTAGAATTGTACATGAAGTCTAGTCTGGAAATCATAAGGAGCAAAAGTTGAAGTTAAGGGGAGAAAATCTCCTATTCACTTTTAAAATATCTACTTATCATCACGGGCGTGTTTCGAGTAACAACTTTGTCAGAATATCATCTTGGGAGTCCTTGGATAACAGTTTTATCAGAATGAAAGTCAAGTTTTGAAATGATAAGACAAGTTAAAAGGAAAACTTTTAGAATAATAAATCAGACCTATTGAACCAATCACCAGAATTGTACGAATCACGATCTAGTGATTTTGAGCGAAGCATTTCGTCCCCAGCATGGAAAAATGGTATTCCCTACAAATATAAGAACAAAATGAACAGAAATGTACAGCATGATATCAAATTGTCAGCAAATGCAGCAAATTATAATACACTCCCCCCTCAAGTTGGTTCGTCGATAAGTTATTCAAAGGCAAGGCAGTTAGGTGCATCAATATCAGTCCGACTGGGAAAATAATTTGAATCATTTTGAACAGGACTCGAGTTGGGGGTACATTTCTTGTTACAACTTATCTTAAGCTCCCACCATATATTATGAACATTAATCAATGTGGATATGTGAAATTCGATCATTTGCAAGGGGGAAACCTGCGTCAATGCAATTACACTTGTTGCAAAATGATTCATCCTACACCTATCTTCCACCGATATTTCCACTGGAGTCTGCAAAAAGGCAAAGTTATTAGTCAATCGTAGTAAAATAAAACATTATCTCCTTTTTTTTTTTGGAGAAATGTGATAGAACATTATACAAAGTATGATCATGAGCATACCTTCAAACTGATAATGTCAAAGAGGGTTTCATTGTCATGAGCAGAAACATAATTGACCTGGAAAATGATTACGGATATAAACTTTATGGATTGCAAAAACATTATACTCTCATGAAAGAACGTTTACCTTTTATCTGATACATTATTAGGAAATGCTCACAACTGATATTTAAAATTTGAAAGACAGTGGAAAAACAATCAAGAAGGCGTTATCCAAACAATAAATCCCAGTTTTAGAAAAAAAAACCATCATCAAGTTGGCCATTACAAGAATCTGATCAACAGAAAACTTTTGATCTCTATCCGGGTCCCAAGTCCCCCATCAATCAACTAGTGTACCTCCACTCCTTAACCGTAGAAAATCTCACAATAGGTTATATCCATACTGCACGAAACCTCAGCTAGCAAATTATAGATTTAATGTATAATCCAATTGATGGTCCTCACATTGTTTCTTTCTGCAGTCAACTATCCTACCCATGGATCTGAGGCATGCATATATAGAACAACAATGTTTGATCACTTAAAACTTTACAGCATGTTCCTAAAAGCCAAATCCATTCAAAGAACCTTTACCCAGAACCCCTTTTGGGTTTCCTTTTCTTAGGATCACTTTGCAAGCAGGGATCTGCTAACCACTGTAGTTTCCAATTCTCTTGTCCCTTGGGGACATTAGTTTACTGTCATAGAGAAGGAAGGAGCAGAGGGCTCTAAGTTAAGAATGACTAACAGTACACAGCTGAAGAACATTTAACATCAGAAAGTAAAATGCAAACGTTCTAACCAAAGACAGGTACGTGAATCTGAGCGAGGTACAAGTGCTGCCAGAAAGTGTAAGACACGTACCGTTTCTGTGGGGCATAAAGCATAACCAACAGGTGTCCCACCAAAAGAAAGAACTTCAGATCCTTTCCTCTAAGAGAAAACATCAAGTTACAAATCAGGAGAATAGCATCTCATGGAAACAACATTAATAGATAAGGGGTAAAAAAGATAGAGGCTTTTGAAAATTAAAATCAAAGGAAAATAAATGATAAACACACAAAAAGTCTGGCTTATGGAAATATTATGTCCAACACGAAAGCAAATCTATTGCACACTTGTGAAGGTAGATGAAGTGGTACAGAGAATGAAGCAATGTATAATATAAAAAAGCTTGCTTGCAGTAGTCGGACTTGTATCTATGGCATACTTGTGAAGGTAGATTGAGTAACAAGTTTATACTTATACACTGCGTTACTTAGACTGGTTGTGAGTGTCAGATGTGGTTATATTTAGGATTTTCCAAGTTTTTCCATGTAATTGAAGAGTCCTTGGAGGGTCATATCTTAATACCCATGTCCAAGAATGCATCGGAAATAGGTACTTCAAGAAAATCAAAGCCAAAATAACATAGCTTAAGCATGGCCATGGATATACATATAATGCATTTAATGCCTCTAACCTGAAAAGCTAACTTAACAAGTTTCTACTAATGCATCATTTAAGCTGTGTCAACAAATGTGGAACAGCTTGGTCAGAAAAATCACAGCAAAATAAATCCCATCATAAGTAAAAGAAAACAAAATTGGAGCAATATTCTTTGTGAGTCACCAAAAGCAATTTTCACAATGCATCATTCCAACAAGATTAATCTATATACCTCTTTTCCTTCAAAATCAGTAAGCACAAAATCCCTCAAATTTGCAGCCATACCAACCTAACCACATTAAACTAATTTGATTAGCTGTAAGGCAAACATAATCCAGTTTGCAGCGAAGGGATATTGTAGCACAATAGAAAAAGCATGCAGAACCTATATAATTGCATTATACACAAACACATGACTGAATGTTAGAAATCTTAATACTCCAAGCTACACATGATAAGAGGAAGCTAAATGATTAAAAACAATTATGCAACTATGTTAATTTGATTGTAAAGGGAATCTGCCAACTTTATCTACAGATGGAAACAACTGAACCTATGTTAATCAGACTGGGGTGTCTGTCCAACACGAGTATGTTCAATTTTTTTAAAAATGTTTTTCCCATGTCCTCATATCCATATCAAGATATGCATCGGACAAAGGTGTTGGACATGTGTACTTCATTTAAAATGAAGAGCAGTCCCAACCACAGTCAAGTGGATATATGCACTGCAAGGTAAACTAGCATTTAAGCAGGTCATTAGCTATAAAAGTTCATAAAAATGTAAGTAATAGAACATACTTCAAAATACACTAAAAATCCCAACTCATTCTGCTAACCAGTTAAATCTTCATAAAGAGTCCACCAATTTAAAATTATTGGTATTGTCTACCACAAAATCTAAGACTCCGAAATAACATCACCAAGGCAGTTTATAAAGAGTATGCCGTAAATAAGGTATTTAGTTTAAACCATAGATTAAACATTATCAAATGTGCAGAACAAGACAATTAACCTGGATGTGGTCTTTCGCTGAAGCAAGCATCGCTTTTTCATCATCCTTTGTACCATGATCATGACCATTAGGCTGCAAAAGAATAAAAACAAGGTAATATATTTTGCCAAAAAAAAGATCAGCAAGTTTTCCAACTACAATATAGCAAAGCCTAATAAACTGAAGCAAAGTCTGCAAAGCCTAATATTTATAAAATCATTTTCCATTAAAAAAAATGCAAGTGAGAAGCTAATAATAACAGTTTCCATCATTATGAATTGTTGCAGAATATGCATGTAAAAATAACTTCTTTTAGAAGCATATAATGGAAAAATCCAAGAATGTAACTGGTGATCCTTGTTATATCTCATATCAGTTATTTTGGATTTATAGAGGCCTTTTAGCTTTCCACCAAAAGCTGATCAGTTTTGGGGCCCAATGTCTTAATTTTGTAGTGCAACTGGCAATAAAAATAAATTCTCAAATTAGTTAATTTTCCAATAGGAAGGCGGGTACACTAAGTTAACAAGAAAATAAAGAAGTCTAAGTCCTCTTTACAGGTCTAAAATTTTCATTACCTCCAACAACAGGCCTGTCACGAATCCCTGCTGAAGAGGATGACCAAAAGGAGACCCACCAAGCATTGCATCCCGAATCCGATCGTTAAAACTGAATGATGTTGGCAATGCATAAAAACCAAACAAAGCTTAATAAAACAAATTCAGGTCCATATGGCAAAGATGATTATATTTCTGGATTTGACATAAATGATAGAAAAACTTAAGTTATGAGCATTTGTGGGGAAATGGCGGCAAAAGAACACAGCAGGAGTTCAGGATGAAGCATAAAAAGGACCTTATTTTCTTCTAAATTTGCCCTTGGTACTTATTCCAAAACCATAGAACTGATATTTAGAAGAAATAAAATAAATATTACAGATATTCCATATGTTATAGTGGACTCTTCTTCTATTGCAAGTGTCAGCTGTGAAGGTAACAGATGTGTCAGCAATAGCACTTATTTGGACCAAATTAGAAGTTCAATGGTATGGAAACTGAAACATAATGGCTATTCACCTTGCAATGTTTTGATGAATACAAACTATATCTTCTTTCTCAACATCTAAAACGTGCTTAATTTGTTATATGCAAAATTAATTTTTCATTACCATAATGAACATCAATATTATTACAAGAAGAAATAAAAAATTTATAACATACCTTCAAGACAAATTTCCTTTAAAACTCAGTGCATCATACTGTACATAGAATATATCAATCTCTTATGACAGTTAGAAGTACCTTCCTATTCCAGTCCCGCCAATATTAAATTGAGAAGCATTAATCCCACGCCCATTTTTTGCCACTTCACCAAAGTCCCATCCTTCACCATATCTGTAAGAAGAAAATTTCCAGCAAACATAGACCAAGCATTGCTGTTGGATAAAAAAACTCCAATTTTTTTAAATTGCATGATTCATAGAGAAACTACATAGAAAATCCTTATGATTTTGAGCACTTCCCAGTGGAAAAATTTTAAGTGCTCATGTGAGGAAATAAAACACAATTCTAAATGTTGCAATTCAAACCTTCAATCCTTTAAATTAATTTTCTTTTAATTTTCTCTTTGTGAAACACCTTGGTTCACTCTTTCTCTCCCCCATCCCTAGTTTCTCTTCTTAGCATTCTTCTTTGCTCCACTAAGGATGGCAGCAATTGAGAAATAAGGAGTGCAGGGATGGTTATAAACAATACAAAAATGATGTTATGGAAAGAGAAAAGACTAAGATGACGGGGAAAACAAGATAAAAATCAATAGAAAAGAACAAAGAAGCAACTCAAAAAGATGTATTGTCAGTTACCATTAAAGTTGGGTGGAAATTTTGAGCTGTACAATCCATTTTAAAAAAGGGTCTCCAACGTTTTAAATATCTAGCCAAAAATGCCTTTCCAATAAAGTAACACAAGCAGTAAAAGGAGTCACCGCCGAAGAAAATCATTTCATGAAAACTCACAGGTAAATTCTTGAACCATCAACCCCATCCCTTTCCTTTGTTAGGCTACAAAGCGCATCTTTTGCTTTCACCTATGCAGAGATCAGATGAATTTTGTCTGAGTTGCTGGCTGAATACAGGAGAAATAAAGTAATCTAATAAAGGTCAAGTATAAAATCCTCAACTCAACCATTATTTCTCATTCACAAACTTATCCACACATCCATTGATCATTATTTGAAACCAGTGTACATTGACTACAAATTAGCGCTTATATCATCAACTAACATGAAAAACTTTGTTGTAATTTTTAATATACAGAACATAAACATTTCAACATCCAACGGAGCTACATATACAATGCAGCTCCATCCATGGATGTGTTAAGAGTATATGCAGCGTATCACCTTCATGCAATTAAAACTTGAATGGAAAGCCTTCTCTATTTCTCTCTAGATCTTTGATAGGTAAATCCATAGAGTCGATATAAGCTACATACCATCGTACGTTTCATGATGTGACCCATCAAATCAAAACGAAACCCATCAACCTGACAAGTCCGTCAACAAACATCCACGATGGATAAAATTCAGTAATAATCCATAAAAATAAAATCTAATTTAACATAAAAACATATTATATGATATTAGCATAACTATAGAAAAGTATGTCACAAAGTTTGCTAAATATAGGAGGAATAAACATTCTAATTACCCAATAAAGGCAAGAAATAATAAAAAAAATAACCTTGTAATTTATTGCCCAGCTCAAAAGATCATCAATAATAAGGCGCTCAACCATATAATGCTCACTAGCAGTATTGTTGACACATGTACTGTTCTCAATAAACCCATCTGTGTTTCTTCTCAGATAGTAACCTGGTACAATCTATAAGAAACTTTCTGTCACAACAAAAGGATAACAAATATTCTACCCAAAGAGTATAAGCGCCTTTGACATCAATAAAGGACCTTATCAAGAACAGAATCCTTATCAAAAGGACCATTTGCATGCAAGTGATTATAGACAACATCCAGCACTACGCGAAGGCCAATATGCGCGAGTCCCTGCAATCAAAAAGTGAAGTCATTTGAGTGGCTAAAGATGAATTTCTTTAAATAAGAGCAAAAACATCGATGGTTCCATCATGGTAGCTTTACACCCTCAATGGCCCCAACATGGCAAGGAGAAAAAGAAAACATTCGAACCTGAATCATCTTTCTAAACTCAATTATACGGCATGGACCATTTGGGTTGCTTGCATAGCTTCCCTTAGGGACACCCCAGAGAACAGGATTGTAGCTTCATAAGGAAATATATGAAGCATTAAAGCATACATAAGATATAAAATATAACAATTTTTATCCAAATTTTATTCACATGCCCACCCCCAGTTATACGCATCATCATCCTTGATTGCAGTAATTTGCGCTTGCTGTTCTGCTGAATCTGGTGGTAGCTTCTCCAGAATCATAGAATCTACAACAGAGTTGATGTTGAACAAATAAGTCACCAACAACACTTAGGAAAGAAAAAGCGAAGCACATGTGTTTGTGTGTGTGTGTATTCAACAATCAAATAGAAATATTAGCAACCAACTTAACAAAAGGAATCTTTAGAAAAGTAATGTTACATTAGACAAGTCATATTTAATTGTTATATAATGTCATCATATTTTGGACATAGAGTGGTGTTAAAGTCATATGTATGTATGTCCAGAATATCATAATGATAATTGATAAACCCCTACATTTTTTGTTCTTTTCTAAAGTCATGATTATGCATGGTAAGATAAAAAAAGGAGAAGGCCAAATCAACAAATACAGATGGAGAATAGACCAAAGAGTTCTTTTCTTTAAACAAATAAATAAGTGTTAAAATCTAACCATTAAAATTAACTAGATCATGATAAAAAAATAATATGATTCATCATTGATGCACAAAAGCCTCCTTTTGGACAAACAAGGGGAAGAACAATGGGGTCAAGGGAAAAGAACGGCAAACAGGGGTAATTGTTGCTTGTTGCTTGTTGCTTTACATACAACATCACAAGGCATTAAACTTGGAAACTCTCTTACCCACATACTTCCAATTCTTCCTCTCATCATCGACGGCAGCAAATTGGAAGGTCGGCAGCAAATGAACATGAGTAATACCAGCTTCCGATAATTTTTTCAAATGAAGAATGCCTGCTGAGTCCTTCAAATTGCATGAACTAAATGCTAAGTAAAAAATAATCATATAATCTTTAATCCAAAGAAAAGATAAAGCATTTTCTTAGGTACACATGAAACTTTTACGCACAGGCCCCAAGTTTTATTGTATTTTGCAATCTATGCTCCAACAAGTAACTACAGAAATGGATCACACAAGTGCGGTGTGGAATTCTAGATAAAACATTATCTAGTGTAACAAAATAATGGATTGCTTATAAACCATGAAATTTTATGAATACTATTCCCTGTACAAAATGTTATTGTTTGTAACCCTCAGACTCAAACTTTATTAAATTTTACATTTCCTTTCTATTTTTCAACTTTAAAAAATTAGAAACAAATATGGTTCTGATATTTTCACTACAGGCACAAAATCAAAAAATTTCCAAAATGTCGTTCAAAAGTCAAACAAGAATTGATACTGGGACAGAGGGAGTAGAAAAGTAGTACTTCTAGTTCTCTATGGCACAGATGCATTTGTACGGGAAGTCATGTTAGAATGGAAAATGCTTTCCTTTTTCAAATCAACCAATGATTCAACTAAAGATAACAACACTAATTCTGGACTCGGCATTTTTTGAGTTGCAACAGGAACTATAAACATTTTAGATATATAGTATAGAGTGTCAGAGAACTCTTTGCATTCATTGGAGAACAATTTCCTTAGCAAATAAGGATCACAAGAACACAACTACCTGCAAAGCGAAAGCCATATAACCACCACGAAAGTCACGAGAAACAGTTTCATCATTGGCACTGCAATAGCAACAGACACTTTGTTGAACACTGTACAAAGGCCGAAAGAAAACGAGAAAAAGAATGACATAACCTAATTTACCACTTAAATATAAAATGTTTGAGCATTTTAAGCAGTACAAACTTTTTGCATTATTATGATGGCCCTTAAAAGGGAGTAGATGAGCAGACTAGGGTTCAAATTCTCCTTCTCTCTACCTCCCCAATCCAAGTCCCCAGTCAAGTCCTCTTCAATTGAACCACATAATAAAAGATATATAAAAGTAATAACTTGAGCCACAACTCCAAGAGAGCTGTAGATAGGGCAGGCTTCACATTTTAAGTTCAGGGGCTGGTGAGTGAAGAGACTCTCCCTTATTGAATAATTCTACAAACTATTTGAACACCCCCCAAGAGAGGATCTTACGGATACTACATGCTAGCCAATTAAAATTATGCACAATGTGAACTAGATTAAGTTGTACAAACAGTAAAGTCTGTGTCTACCTGAAATCCCGTATGTGTAATTCATATAAACTTATGTCGGAGAAGGAAGGTATATCACGCTTCATGTCTGCCAATTCATTCCATCCTTCAGGTTTTATATCATCAGCATCAAGATCAACAAACAAAGTTCGCCTTCCATCAGCTGAAAGCCTGCTTCAACAATGAAACAAAAGAAGCATTACATGAAATGAACACAATGTTTGCTTCAAACAATAAAACAATATCCAGGTTGGAGCACACCTTATAACTATAAACATGAATCACCAAAATTATTCCAGAAAATTGTTGGCTAATTAAGAGAACCATCATACCCTCTTGCATGAGGATCATTTGCATAACATTTTTCAATATGCAACGTGCTAGGATGATAAACTGATACTTCATATACATAGTAACAGCCTTCCCAACTTTTTGGTCCTTTAGTACTCCAAACACCATTAGTTTCCTCCAGTGGGATAATTTCCAGGGGACTCCCAACCACTGGATCCTTATAGATGTGAGCATCAACTGCCTAGTTTCATTCAAAATAAGCAAAAAGAGAAATTATGCATGTTATTAGTTATGTAAATGAGAATGATTCTAAAGATCATAAACAATATTTCTTCAATTTTCCGTAGTATAGTACTTGAGCAGTGGGAGCCCAGAGGTATAGAGACACTGCTTCTGCCGAATAAAGAGCACCAAGAGGACCATCATATGAGAACAATTCATCCAGGATACCAGGTAATTGCAAACCAGTCACATTACTGCATTTTCCACGTGCTGTATAGAAGAAGGAAAAGAGATGTAAGTTATAGGCACCAAACTACAAACATTAACTGGCCAAAAGATTTTAGAAGCACTACTTTCATTCAGAGAGAAAATTTGATAAGAAATGTGCTTACACAATAGGTGAAAGTGACTTCATCACACAAGTTAATAATCATGCAACCATAGAATTTATAAAATATAAGAGCTATTTCAGAAAGACCTCCCCTCTCACCCCCCAAATTAGAATGTCTGTAGATTGGTCAAAGCATTAAAAGCCTAGAAAGTTAAATTTATAGGCTCGAATAAACAAATTTAGAACTGAATTGGCAAGAACGGATTGTTAGCAAGAGGTATTTCATTAGAAAATGGCAAAGAAAAAACTAAGGATACTTCAAAACGTATTATCCTAAAATGAGATCATTGTATTACCTTTGCAAATTATTAACACATAAATAGAAGAGAATCGAAAGGAAAAGAAAATAACAATACACAGTCAATATGCTTACAGTTGAATTCAGTAACCGCTAATTGGCATTTAACGAGATTTTTGGCATCCAGAGTGGGAGGCAATTTAAAAGCTCTATAATCTCGAATATGAGGAAACTTCTCAATTACCTGACAAGATCAAGGATGATATTTATTTCAAAATCACTGAAAACTTATTAAGTCTTCACTACATGACTACATCATAGTGAATAAGAACAATTTGTAGCCAAACCACTGAAACAGACCATCTACAAGCAGCACTAGTAGCGATAGAACTCCAATATTTCATTATACAGAAAATGGGAAAGAAGAAATGAGTTACATTTGGAGGTAACCCACTGCTGTCCTCCTCAAGCTTAATTTCCAAATCATGGCCTAGGATGACAAAGATAATATCAAAGACAGAAATGGGTCTTTTGACTGACAGCAAAATCAAGATGTTTATAGAAAAATAAGATCATCATCAATGAAAGGTATTTTTTTCAGCACAACCCAGACCTTGAATTCCATTATCTGTAACAGACAAAGCAGCAACTTTACTTGCATACAAGTAGCAAGAACCTTCTCCAACATCAACATTCCAGGCGATTACAGTTTTTGTAACCCAATATGCCCTCGAAAACAACAAACTGTCCTGCAATTGATCACCATTTCAAGCAAATAATTACTTCAATAAATAGCATACATTTCATTTTAAAATTTTCAAGTTTTCTAGCAACCACATGTTTTCGTAGTGCTTTTCTAAACATACATTATTAACAAATCACACCTTTATTTTCATCCTCCAAATTAAAATGAATCAATAACTGACTTTTTTTTTTTGACTAAATTTAATTCTTAAAGGAACCCATTTCACTAAACGTGATAAAAAAAACACTCAAACTATCATCAAAACATGTACATAATATCTGCCCAAGGAAAAGGGTATCCAAAGAACAGAAAATCGAACTTAAAAATGAAAATGCCAGCTGAAGATATATAGAAAACACAAAGACATAAAAAAAGATGAAATGGAAGAAGAACCTGAGACAAAGAGGAGAGTTGAAGGGGCATGGAAGAGGAAGAGCAATGAAGGGGTTGTCTGGGAAAGGAAGGGAAAGAAGAAGAGAAGAGAGGAAGGAGAAGAGGGCTTGGTTTGAGATGGAGACGACGTCGTAAAGGAGTTAGAGGACAAAGACGTGGCTTGAAGAGTGGCGATGGCGATGGTGATGATTGGAGAACTGAAAAAGGAACACGAAGTGCATCAGCCATTTGGCTTATCTTCTTAAGCTAAATGTCTAAATTGAATGATGATTGATTGATGAATGCTCAGAGAAAATGAGATTGAAAGCTGATATTTTTTTTAACAGTTACGCCTTATAGGCAATGTCTGGGATTAAATTTATGAATTTCAAACTAACTAAATTTAGATAAAAATTAAATATCTGGATCTTTAATTTTAATGAAATTTGTTATACTTCTGGATATGAGATCTGTCTGAACGGGCCTAAATCAATGTTAAAGTAATAATAGTTCAAAATTGACTTAATAGCATCTGAAGCTCTAATATTTTTTCAATATATATATATATATATATATATATATATATATAATTTTAATTTTTTTACTCGTTGTAGACCTAAAATTGATAAAAAAAAAATTGACCTTTTGACCAACAGAATCAAATATTGACCGTTACGATATTAACGTGGTGATTCTCGATGGCTAATGACATAATAAATATGTTAAATTAAATTTTTTGATCGGTTTCAAGGACCAAATTAGATTTTTTAAAGTTCAATGACTTGTTTATTTAAAAAATAAAAATTATTTAAAATTGGAATATAAAAATATTCAAAGATTCAACAAATTAAATATAAAAATATTAAAAAGTAAAAATTAAATTACTAAAAACACTACTTAAAATTGAAAAGTATAGCAGTATCTCATAAACAATAAAATTATAAATTGTTAAAAAAAACTTAAAATATTAAAAACCATATATTATGTATAATGTATACAAGTAACTTCAAATTTAATTATATTTATGTTACCCCTCAGACCAATGCGGATAACCCGATCCGATCTGGAGTGTCACATTAGGGCCACCGGAGCGACCTACTGTAAAAATAGCGGAAAATTTAAAAAAAATTCTTAAAATTTGTAAACTCATAAAATCATTTATGAGTACAAAATAAAAGTTATCAATATTCGAAATAAAACAGATTTTCAAACTTATATATAAAACAAAATACAATTACATGCCCCCTAATCACATGTACCGTACTCTGCAAACAGCACCGGAAGAACTCCCTTACTGAAGTCGATAGCTGCACTGGTACAATTCTTTTAGCCTGAAAAGATGAGTAACAGAATGAGTTTTGGAAAGCTCAGTAATACAGAACTACCAGATGATGCTGATGAACGTGCAAATACAAATAAATATATATTTCCTTATTGTTTCCGAACATTTAAAGATTTTTATGCTGAGCAGAGATCATACTGATATTTCAAGTGGTAACGGACAATGAGCTTTCAGTTCAGAGAAATATTTCGGATGACTGAGTTCAGGAGATCAGAATAGGTTATCTAGTGTGTTCCCAAAAACCATGTAACTTTTCAGATCTTTTTTAAAAACATATATATATATACCCCCATCCCAACACAACATAATGTGTAGGTTCCCCAGAACCATACACCCAACCCACACAACTTGTAAGGCCCTGAGCACAAAGCCGATGAACCTGCGGAAATACTTCCTTCAACAATACCCCCCAATTAAAACATTTTTCCGTCATTAAACGGAGATATCAGAAATCAAAACAGAATTCAGAACAGATATCATAACAGAATCCATATCAGAAATTAGAATAGAATTCAGGTCATGTATCATAACATAATTCAAGTCAAAAATCAGATAAAATATTTATATGATTAGGGAACACACCAGAGTTTACAGATGTTATTCATAGATACTGGATAATCTTATCGGGTAGAGAGACACTAATCTTCAGTTTACCGATAGAATGTCGGAAGTTAGAATCACTATTTGAAAAGTTCATTAACTGACAGAATCATCAGTTATTCAGGATATGATTTATCGGGATCATCTTATTCGGACACTTTTCTGAAGCTCTACGAAATCTGAATGTCTTCAGAATCTTTACAATATATGACGATTAATCCGATTATCAAACAACTCCAGATGAATAACTCCCATAACCAATACTTTATCAACTTGTCAATTCATTAACCTTCCAGGGTATTTACTCTTTAATACCAAATATTCTTATCCACAAATCATCTTCTGAGTCGTCACTGAATAGATCTTAAGGAGACAAACAAATATTCTAATGGTCTTTATTTCATTTCCATGTTTCAACTATACCAGGAAATGCTGACGTACTTGATTTGTGGTTCATAATCCATAGGGATGATACATCATATAAGTTCATCTGATTAGTTCATTTAGTAGTCAAGTCCTTTACAGTTACTTCAGGGTTTTTCATAGTAATTCAGACTTCTGAATTTTAGATACATATTGCACTTCCGTTCAATTCAATTTGGTAGTTGTAGTTGATTTGTCTAATGAATATCCACTTCTTAATATTGAATGCGATCTAGAGTTTAGCTGAGCTAAATACTTCCAAAATTATCATCAAGCCACACTTGAGAAGACGAACACGCATTCAAGCAATATCTATATCGTCCATGTACTGACATATCATTACGATTGATCAACTCACTTAAGTTGTGTTCCATAACTTGTAAAGGTAGTCCAACACCTATGCTTATTTGGATAACTTAATTAATCCAATACATTTACTTATTCTAGGTCATAAGGGTATTTTGGTCATTTTGATGCTCAGTCTTATTCCATTCATTTCAGAGCTCGAGGATATCCAATTATTCCTGAGCTTGGTGATATTATTGGGTTATTTCCATTATAGAGGTAGTTTGGTCATTTTATAGATCTACAGTATTTCAATTTTTTCCCTCCATCCGGTCTTATTATTTAATTCCAATTTATCATCTATTTCAGTCCCTTCGAACAATTATGATAAAAGAGCACCTTCCAATAAATTGTTCTTCAGGTATTTACTCATAACTCGGATATTTTCGGGTCAAGTGCCTTCTCAGATTTTACAAACGGAATATCATAAATTTTTTTGTACAAAGACAAGATCTTAACAACTAATTCCGTAATTTATCGAGTTAAGTACGAATCCTCAAAATATTTTCTCATTCAGGGTCAACTCGGACTATTTGTACCTCTCAAGGCATTTTCATAATTTCTTAACCAGATAACTTCGGTATTAACTCTTAATGAACATACTTATAATTTAGAGATCCTATGGTTAATTGTTTCCTCGATCATTCTCTGATCTTGAAATGATTCCTTAACAGACTTCTAGTATCTTGCATAAACCCTCTTGGGGTTAAAAACCGGTTATCCAGAATTTTCAAGTAAAACTAATATTTCTTATGCACATCAATAGTTTTATCAGATCAATATGTCTTTTCAGATTTATTAATCCACTTCCAGGGACAATTCTTGTCATTTTCCAACATAAGGGTAATTTCGTAATTTTACCTATTCGAAATATTCTCACAATGTATCATCTAAGTACCTTTAATGAGATAAATTATAATCTACATATACATGGTTGATTCATTTATTACTTAATTCCAGAACTTGTAATTTAATTCTAAGTGTCCTCTAATTTCTTATAATAGTCATCTGAGCCATATTCAGTTACCTACTCCCTACCGCATTCGTATCGAGTGTAGAACTTCATTACTTACACATATGAGACCAAACATTTTCATTCATGCATTTATCAATACCAACATGTTCTATAAAGCATAAAGAGGTAGTAATGTATTACCTCGATTTTCGTACCATATTGCTCGACCATTTAAATTAAATTTGAACACCCTCGATCTTGAAATCAACTTCCAATAATTCCTCATATACATATTAACAAAAATTTTATCAAAAACGGAGCATAACTCCGAAAAACAGATCGAATCGGGTGATTAATCAGTGAAAAATAGCTTATCGGGTTTGAATTTGGCGAAACGGACCTCAAAATCGAAACATCAACAAAACCCAAAATATTATTCTTAAATTCCAGCTCACCAATTTGATTTCTAGCTTCTAATCTTTTTCTAACGAACACGTATAATTTATCGTACAAATATGACTTCCAATAATTTTCCTTGCCATAAAAAATAACTTATTAGAATCTAATTAATAATTTGGAAACCCAATTTGCATAACTAAAAACTTGAAGAGCTAGTAATATTTAATTACTAACATCATGGACTAAATTGATCTTGTAAAAACTATTATGTCATAACTATAACCACTTGGAAAATAAGAGACAAGGTAAAGATCTCACCAAACTTGGATTACATACCTTGTGGTTTACCCCCTTTTGCATGTTATCTATAATTTCCCACAACCACGTGAATTCTTTAATTGCTCTCTTTTCATTTTTCCAAAGCCATATGCACTAGGCCATTCCTTCATTTTCACGCAATTTTCACAAATTCTTTTTTTTTTTATTCTACACTCTTCATATTTCAAGCAATGATGTTGATCAAAAGCTGATATGGTTTAACGATATGGCTCAATACGTTTAGCTTGATATTCTTTAGGTTTCGTCGATCTACGGAGTTGAAGATCCGCAGGGGAGTCTTACTGAGCATGTTGAGTTGGGTGGAGCTTCAATCCTCCACATGAAATCCAAAGCTTCTTGCATGGCTTGGTTAGTTCCTCTCGATATTTCACCACATGTCACAATTAGCGTCCATCAATTGATTCAGCTCCGAGTCTTTCGAAGTGTCTCATGATATCACTAAAGATCGTTGCCTCGCTTCAAACTTCTATCTTGCAGCAGCTAATCAAGGCACTACTTCAGTCGAAGCTCTACACTTTTGAAAATCCATGTAAGCTTCCAAGAGGCTAGAGTACTGAAGATGAGCAATTATTCTGGCTTTGGTAGCTTTTGTCTTATTCGAGGTTTTGCTCCCTTCTTAACGGTTATGAACCGCTTGGTGCCCTCTAAACAAAAGGGTAGTGAAATTGTTTTGACCACGTTGAGAGGTGATTATTAGAGAAAATGAGTTGTCTTTGGCTGTTGATGAACAGATAGAGATATGTTTATCACAAATTTTCACTCTGAGTTCGTAGGTTCAGAGAATGTTTTTATTATAATGGATTATTACACACTCTTCATATCTTTCATAATTGAGGAGTGGTTGGCTTGGTGCCTACATATAATAATGGCATTAACAGGTGGTCATATTAATTGCTACGGCCAATATACATGTGATCTTAATAATTATAATAATTGGGGT